CGCGAAGAGAGCGGGGGTCAGGTGATGAAAGGGAGGCAGCCGATTGGACTGGCTGCCGCGTAACTTTCCCCGCTCTATCCACTAAGAGACGAGCAAAGTATACATTTCGTTCAGTTCGAAGCTGACAGTGCGGTGGTAGTTACGCACCTCGCGGGACCAATCGATCGACAGTCTTTCATCGTCTGATCGCGCTCTTCGCGCGCGGGTGTGGGCGGGAAGAGTGATCACGTGATGAAAGGTCGACGCGCCATTGACCTAGTGGAGCACGTGGCTCCCACTGCGCTGTCAGCTTAGGGGTGATCGGAAGGCGGCGATCTTGCGGGTTCCAGTCGAGCTCATGCATAAGGCATCCGTCTGCTCGGGCGGGGCGCAGCGCTTCGCTGCCGCGCAGCTTAAAAAATGCAGCGGCTGGCAGCCGAGAAGCTTTTTCCTCCTCACCCCGGGGGCTTCTGGCGATCGGCGACCTGGCGTTGGCCGCCTCCCACGTTCGAACCCCGGGAGCCGCTCGCTGGCCCGCGTAAAAAGGCTCGGCGGCTCGCGGTTAAAACCCCGGGCTCGCAACTTTTTTCTTTTGGCCGGATTTTGTTTTATTTATTTTTTGTTGGTTTGGGAATGGGGTAGCTGCTGGACACTCGAATGCAGATGAGCTAAGCTCTTTAAAATTCAAGTAAGATAAAAAAAAAAAATAAAGTCGCAGTCAGACTTGCTGAAACATTACACAAAATGACCGTTGCAGAGATGTATGACGAAATTACCCGCGGCACAGCTCAAATCATGTTGGAAGCCTGCTTGCTTTCAAACATGTATGCTTCAGACATGCCTGCAGGCAGTTTCTACTGACCAACATGACCGGACCCCCTGCAAGAAAGACGCCTATGACAGTGCTTGCAGACAGATTTTTTTTATGATGCTTTAGCGGTGCGGTTGTGACTTAGAAGTAATGGCGAAGAGACTGGCGGCGAGTCACTGAATTTTCAGCGTCCCGAACACCCGATCGAGAGTGGGAAAGAATAAAGAAGAAAAAAAAGGAGGACAACAAAACGTGCTTTGTTTATACGACCTGCAAGTTCGTCTGCACATTGCGCATCTCGTGCCACGAGCTTTTGTTCACACCCCACCCAAAACCAATCGGACGGTGCGTGCTCGAATGCCTCGTCATCGCGCGGTTTCCATGGGGTCTCTGTGTTGCCTTGTGGTCGGAATGTTCCTTCTTGCGTTTCCGATGTGCGAAAGACGAATTTCGGTACACTTGCTCGCCGTATTGCTTTTCTTTTTTTTTTTTTCTTAAATGTGCGCCATCGTGTTTTGAACTAAAATTTTTTTTATATATATATAACAAAAATGTTGAACGGATGTTTGACAGTGCGAAGTTAGTGTGGTGTCTCCATTGTACGTTGCGCGAACAAGCGAAGGAAGAGGCGACAACGCGCCGATGACGTGTTCGCGCGTGACGCTTTATCATGACGTGACGCTTTATCGTTGGGATATAATGGCGCCGCACGTTCGTAAACAGAACAGCTTTGTTTTGTTTCGCCGTCTCCTTTTTTACACGATCTTGGGCCGTATGAACGTAATAGCGGCAACAATAAAGTAGCTTCAAGTTTTTTTCTTGTTCTTTTGCGTTTTATTTTGCGCTGGGGGAAAGAACAGCTAAGTGTAGTTTATTAAAATGGTACGCCACGAAGTGTGCTTTTTAAGCCTGGTTCAGAGTTTCGTCAGGATACGAAGTGCCGAGATGAAGACGTTTAGCCTTTGACAACGAAACACCATAAACTGAAGCCCCTTGGTGTCTCAAAAGTAGCGCAAGGTGCGTCGATGCACGAGGCACGTGCAACATGCAGCCCTTGTGAATGGCGGCACTGCGCAGCACTGAGCTAGATTTCAGACGCCATGTTCTTGCCAGAAGTGACAGGGCGGCACGTGTCTTGAGCAGCTCCCACAATGAATGGCGTCACTTTTCCCAGGATAGAGGGGCTTTACCATAAACTTGACAGAAAAGCTGAAGCTGTTTCGGATCATGCTTTTACCGCACGACACGCCGTTCATGGCTCAAGTTTCTAGCCGGTCGGAGCTCACCATATTCTCGAAGTTCACGCGCTCCAACAACTTGGTGAACTTTTTTTTTTTTCAATTGTTTTTAAAAAAGGTATAACTATCGTAACTAGCTGCGAAATCGATATCAGGTGAAGAGATATTACCTTCTTACCAGGAAAATGGAAACTTCCGATGTCTCAGAAGTACCCTGAACTTTGCAAGTCGTTGCCGTCTGCGTCGTGGCTTGGCCTGTTTGCAATATACGGGGATTGCTCTTTGTCTGCAGCCCTTGTCACTGCTTTGGGCTTCTCTCGATTAACGTCGTTTGCGTCGAATCGTTGCTTTTTTAAAGGGGTCATGAAACGATTTTTCTACGGCGAATTCAGAAATCACGTGGTCGTGGCATGCTTGGGCACCAGTGCGATGACTCCTAGCTTCCACCGTGCTTTTTATGAACGCCATAGAACTTGTCATTCCCCAGTGACAATAAGTTCCGTCAGAGCACTCATTGGCTACGAGCGCGAATCCAAATATTCGTCGATGGATTGATTGTTGACGAGAGCATACGTCCGAGTGACGCAGTTCTCGTGTCCAATGCGTCACTTTTGCACCGCTGACGTGCTTTGGGTAGTGCGGATGTATCTTAGTGAAAGGGCGGAGAGTTTTCGAAGGAAAGAAGGTACCAAATACTCCGCTATATTTTCAAAAGTTTGTACCGAAAATCAGGCTTTTGAATTTCTACCCTCTTTCTTTTGACCCACTAAACGTATGCGATTATAGTAAAGTCCCAATCTAAAATCATTTATCCCACCCGGAAATTCGTTTCATGGCCCCTTTACGTTTACCGTTCAATCATTTAGGCCTCACTTTTCAAGGTTTTCTTAGTTAATTGTTTTTTTCTGTATATGCGTGAAACGCGTTTCTCCTGACGACCTTCGAGGAACCAAAAATTACAGTAAATAAAAAAACAAAAAATTACGCCACTGAGGCAGTCAGTTTTGCTTCCCGATGGTGAACAGCGAGATTCAAATGTTTTTTTTTTCTTTTTTTTTAATTATCTTTTTCTGCAGATGGCACTAGCATGACAGTTTAAAACTACCCATTTTATTTCATTTGTTTTGCGATTAAAAACTGTGTTTGTCGACAAAACGAGGTTTGTCTTGGATTTCCCTTTAAATCCGCGCTCAGATTGCTCGTGAATTGTGCAAAAGTCTACAGAAACTGACCGAGGCGCGCATTCTTTCTTGTATGACAAGACACAAGCCTCGGACATTTCTGAGCCGTGTCCGCGGACAACTGTGTCATGTCTGCGGAGAAACTCCGTGCCTCTTGTATGATGTGCGAGCAGTCTGACAGCTGCTGAAAGCTGAACGTGGATTTACTTTTCTCCGCCCACAAAGTAATTTTCCTTGTATATTTATGTGTTTTCGTCTTACTACTAGTGAGTATATATATATATATAGTTTGCTTGTTTAAATTTCAATATTGTTTTTTTTTGTACACCCTTTCACTTTCGGTGGCACAAAGTAGCAAACAAGCATTATTTACAATAAACCGTTTTTCCTTTTCTGGCGGGGACCATGGCGATTTAAACTATAACGCTAAGTTTGCCCTACTTTACTTTTATTACGTCATCTCCTTCTTCTAGGTGGCCCACGAAAGAAGATTGTCATGTCATATATAAGTTGAATTAACGTGTATAAAGAAAGCAGTCTGCAAGAGGAAGTTCGTGTCTTCAATTTAGACGAACAATTTGACGAAACTACCGCAACGTCCCTGAGAGATAGCCCACCTAAAAAGCAAGAAAAAATCGCGTGAAAATTAAGGGTGGGATGAAGCGTTCCATGTGCGATCAAGAAAAATTATTTAAAAATGCCGCTTTTGTATTCCGTAACCTGCCAAACTTGTTTTTACGTTCAGAGTCAATGAAGAAGAGACGACTGTCCTTCCCAGTTAGGAATGTTTGCTTATTTCCTGCAGGAGCTCACTTGTCATGGGTCATCATGGGCCAGGACGCTGCAATTACAAAAAGTAAACTATCTTTCAATGTTTAAAAAAAAAAAAAACGAATTGTGTCACTCATAAGGGTGGGTTATCTCCCTAGGGTGGCCATCTTTCGGGATATTACGGTGAAGTCTTTCGCGTGCATTTCACTGTAGCGATTACACGCCCACACGCCGATAGGCGCTTATCCAGATAAAGACCAAGAGCAGGGGCGGCTTAGAACCACTGAGCAGGCTATGGGCTTCAGAGTAAAAACATTTCGGCCATCTTGGTGCTGAAAATCATTGGTGTCAATTTTTATCTGAAACCACAGGAGACGATTTTCGATTCTTCAGAAACGTTAAAACAGTTTACGATGGAGAAAAACGGTATCACCCGAGCTCCTGACACCGTGTCCAAACATCGGGGAGTCGCATTTTCGAATTTGTGTCCCCTCTCAGCTAAGCATCAAAATGGCGGCGCCCTCGAGAACATTGGAAATGGAGGGACAATTTCCCTCGGCGTAGCTTATCTTGTGGCGCGAACCATATGACTATACGGAGCGCAAGTTCGTCTACTTTTTGCGCAGGGGCTAGCTGACGTCAGAACGGCATCCCTGAGTGCCTCTGATGGAGGAATAGTGGGTAGACCTCAATGCTAGCTACCTCGAGGTCTACCCACTATCCTTCCAATCGGAGCCAATCAGAACTCGGCGTCATTCTGACGTCACCGAAACCCTTATTGAAGAAGCAGACGAACTTGCACTCCGCATAGACAAACTCACGCCACTGCGGTGGCGCTGCCGTCGGCACCGCGCATGCTCAGATGCTTCGCTTCAGGCGAATAAGGTTTCTGCGCGGGAGCAGTGCGCGCCCACACCCGGTGTAAGAAAACGCGGGCATGTTTGTAAACAGTGTGTTGGTCGTCGATGCGTTCACGAAGTCGGCCATCGATCCCCGCAAACAAGAATGAGGTTCAACGAATCTCTGAACTGACTCGGACGACGCGTATGCGTCCAAAGTCACTTTTATTTTCATTTTTGTCGCTTTTTGCTTTTTCTGGTCGCCGCTTACCGGCAACCAGCACTCGCGTACACTCTGGGAGAGGTGTGAACGGAAACGGATGTTGTAGAGAATGTGTGCGCTGTTTTTGAGTCACCATTGGCTGGAACGTCAACAGAGTACGCAATGGCTGCTTGCGTGAACTGGATGAGCAACAGTAAGGAATAACTAGATTCAGTGTCAAAAGAACGGATCGAAGATGAGTGGCACTATCCAACTTTAGTCTATAAAAACTTAAAAGTCCACAAGAAAAACATTAAAATTTACGAGTCTCTCCAGGTTTCGGCAAACGGCTTCAAAGTTGAACTCTCCGCAGCGAGACTAAAGCCATTATGAGGAACTTGCACATTCTTGCGAAGTTTCTGAAGATTGTTTTTACTATATGCTTTTTTTCTTCGAATATATCTAAAATATCGTCATATTTTCACAGCGCATTACGCTGTATGATAAAAACAAAAATAAAACAAGATAATTTTGTATTAAAATTGTGTAATACTGTAATTGCGATGCTTTGTTCAATTTGTGCGCTCCGATGGAGCAGATAACGAATATCCGTCATCACTGATCATCAATGAGCGCGAATAAAAGCTGGTGCTACACTTGAACACTCGCTAACTTAATAAAATTAAAAGTTTTCTTTAAACACATTTTGAGGGATGTAAAATATACCGATGTTCCAGCCAAAAATGACCATCATTGTATAGCAGCTGCAAAGAGCGATGAATGTACGGCACATAACAGAGGCGACTAGTTTTTTCACTTGGATCTACTGCTGACCGGTGCCGATATCGGCAGCAAAATGAAAAAAAAAAAAAAAAGAAAAGAAGAGAGAAAAGCTTTTTCTTCTTGTCTTTTTGTTCCGTCCATAGTCCCAGTTCAGAGTCTTCAGTACGATGTTTTCACAAACAACAAAGAACAGCACAGTTCGTGGCGAGGCGAGCAGAAGCCCCTTCAGTCCACATAAACATGTTGCCAGTAGTGCACGGTCTGCAGCGCTGAAGACTTGAAAGTCAAGTGGCACAGCCTCCTTTTGGGGAATAAATAGTGACCTTTTGGGGGAAGGAAGGGAAGTGGGTTCGTTGGGTTCAAGGGGGTAAGGGAGGCTCGCGGAATGGCGGTTGAATCACTCTCAGTATTGTCGAGCTCGATGACCGCTTCGCGAAATTGCCGATCCCTCCTGCATCTGTTGTCCGCCGGCTTTTAAGCTGTCCAGATGCACTGAGACTGGGCGAGGGGCTGGTTTCATAGGTCCCGCAAACTATTTGCAACTCGGCAGTCTGGTTCTCTTTGGAGAAGACTGGCGTCCCTGTGCCATGCAAGTGTACGACACGAACGACGCCGGTGGTTTTTGATCTTCCTGCACCATGGAAAGAATGCTATTTTTCAGCTGGAATCCGACGTTTCACGGTGATTTCTGTGGGAACTGTGTCTCACAGACGTTCCTGTTTTATGAATGTTATTTAGATGGACGCTTTGAAGATGACTGCCTGTCTTCTGGAAGTCGGTTTTCAAGATGGTGTGCGACCTGGCTTGTCCTTCACGTCTTGTCAAGATGTGTCCTGCACTGGGACATTGCCCAAAGGTTTTTGTTCTTTCGAGTGTCGTCTGCTTGCCCTACGCGTGTTTTCTAGCCAAACACATTTTTTTGGGGGGATAAACTGTCTTTTATAGTGGCACAGCCTCTTGCGGTTTGGTTATCTTCTGCAAGACTTCGCTTACATAAAGCGAACTTTCTTCAGGCTGCCGACTCTATCAAAGCTCGTATTTTGCAATGCTCACGCTGAAGTACACGTTTGTTCGTGGGCCTCGGCTATGCTAAAGACGTCTTTCGGAGATCTTGGAGGTCTTGGCCTGTATTCCTCTTTGCTTAAGAGGCCTTTAGGAGATCTTGGCCCGGAGACCTGGAGGCTTCTTTGCTGAAGACGTCTTCAGGAGGTCTTCTGGGTCTTGGCCTATGGGCTCAAGCGCCGTGGTGAACTCTTTCTCGTGTCCCATCCCTTGTCCACCGGGTACGTCGCGTGTGCGGGCGGGTGAGGGCAGGAGGGCGAGAGGGAGATGGGTCTGAACGGACACTGGGTGCCCTCCAGAGGTCATGGCGGCGGTCGTCCCTGCCTTCGGCTCCGGGGACGACCCGGCCGTCTCTGCGGGCGTCATTCGGGACTGGAAAGCTCGGACGGCGTGCCGGGCAGGTGACTCGAGTGGGAGAGGTTACCAGGCGACGAGCCCAGGCCGTCGTCCGGGCACAGGTAGGCCCCGGGCACCGAGAGGGGGATCACGCCCCCGAGACAGTGGCCGCCGGGGTCGCCCGTGTCGTAGCCGTGCATCTGCGAGCACGAAACAAATAAAGGGCGGATTAGGGACATGCATAAATAACGGAGAAGATGCAAGCGAACTGGTGAACTTTCAACATTTTAACACCCGAGACTAGGAACAAAAAGTGTGCTGTCCACTTTTTGTTCCTAGCCTCGGGTATTTAAAGGGAAGATGGGGCACTTCTACATTTGAGAAAAAACGCTAGAATTGCGTTCATTTAGCCTTTAGATTAACAGATATCAAAATTGTATTTCAATGCGACGCGCTGGAGAGCCATGCGAGCAATTTCAAAATAGGACTGAAGCCCCGCCTCCAGCCTTGGGCAGCCAAAAGAGCCGTCGATGACGTCACGGACAGCGACTGTCTTTCGCGTTTTTCTCGCGTTTAACCATACTTACGCAGCAAATGGTTTGGGTATTCGGGTTCACGGGGTACAAATACACTAGAATTCACTTCTAACTCATTTTTTCCAAGAAGCTCCGTAGCTTCCCTTTAAATGTATTTAGGGACATGCAGTTTTCGTTTGGTGGTAAGACGCACTTATAATCGAAACGTAATGAACAATCTAAAAAAAAGTTCGTCTATTCACTATGTCCAGAGCCAAACCTGCCGCTTTAATGGCGGATTTTGAGTGCTTCAAAACAATAGGAAAAGCGAACGTCTTCGACTGCTTAAGACCGTCCTTATATGTCGCCTCGATTCTCGAAGTCCAGGGTGCTCGATTTAGAGGACCTTGTTCTTCTTTGAGTTATCCTCTCACCGCCATTAGAGTGAAACTATAGAAGCCTTTGAAACTGCCCCTAGGTGGTTTCGACTTTCGAAAAAAGGGTATATCGGGTTCTATTACGATGTCTGGAACGCATCTTCGACTGGAGTGGTTACCTCTCCTATCCCACCCATGAACTAGGAGTGGTCTCGAAATGGCAACGAATTGCGTCACGGGATCCGTTGTGTCGTGGTGTCGGATGTGGTTTCGACCCTGGCGGTTGGTCCTACAGATAACACGGACGGGAGTGGGGATTGAACCCAGGGTCACTTATTATCAGGCAGATTACAGAAATGCAACATGAATGCCGGATTTGCTGCGGGCTGACTGAGTTGTTTTCCTACAAGTTCATGTTCCAGAGAGACACCGGTCATGCCGGGGTCAAGTTCACCGTCCATTGTTACATGAATCGATGGTGAAGCATAATCGTGGGATTAGCGTCTGGATCGTACGATGATAGGTCGCACTTATACTTATTCATTTATTTATTAATGGTACCTCAAAGGCCCAATTAAGGGCGCTATACGAGGGGGACATTACCGTTACAGAGGCACTAACAACTCGATACGTTTTTTTTTTTTTTTTTTGTCGTGTCAACTGTAGTGTTTCATACGCTCGATCAACTTTAGCCGCGTCAGTTTTCGTCGCTCGTTTCAGCAGACGCGAGACCCTAGATTTCGCCCTGCGCTTGTTTCCCGTTGGATAACCTTAGCCCCATCTCGCAAACGCACACGTTCGCCTGACCCGTCGTAGAAACGCGCTATCGGGCAGCGTGCCATGTGCACTACATTCCGCTGCCACAACATAATACACGCACCAGAAGAAAAATAAAAACAAGCAGCAAGAAACAACAACGAACGCTCCGTGTCACTCCACATCACACTTATGGAAAGGCGCCACAAGCCGCAACGAGCCGAAGGCGAGCCAAATCGAGCCGGGTTGGTGCCATCGGAGTGGCCACACTCCACAGACTCCTCCGATAAGAGCAGAGTAAACACACGCACGGCGGAGCGGCAGGAGGCGTCCGAAAGAACCGAGAGTCCCCTGGCTGTTGTACGAAGAGGAGGACGCGTGGGGGGGACCAGTTCGACTCTTCTACGCTTCCGTGCGACGCGCCAGCGGCCGCCCGGACGGCTAGCCAGGCCGGCTGCACTCCGTTTCGTCTAACGATGAACCGCGGCTGATGCTGTACAAGCCATCAGAGCCAATCCTGCGTTCCAGGCGTACCACGTGACTTTGGGATCCGGAGTCGCCGTTCCACCCTCCTGGAGGGTCACGTGACATCACGGCGTGCAGCCCGGTCTACTACACTCAGTTTCACTTTAAGATGGACCGGAGCGGACCATGTACCAGCCGAATCGGCCAATCCGGCGTTCCCGACGTACCGCGTGACTTCGTGCCGCGTGATGATCACGTGACGCTCTCCGAGCCGCGGATTGGCCCTTGTTACTCATGGCGTCTGCTGCGGTCCGGCGTGAGGTGAAAGCGGAGTGAAGCCCGGTCTGGGCTGTCGGAACGACGAAGCAGCGCAGCCCCGCTGACGAAACGCAGGGACGTGCACTCGGGTCTTCGGGAGAACGCCAGAGCTACCCCCCGAGAAGGCGCCACCCAGGTTCGGACAAGGCGGAGGAGAGGCTGTCGCTTTTTGGGGTTTCCTGCTCTTTACACTGCTTACACTAGTCGGGGGAGGGCCGAGGATCTTCTGAAGGAAGCTTTCTCGAGCATGCCGGCCGCTGTTGGATGGGTTGCCAAAACAGTGACACGCGCCCGGACGAGGTACTTTACGCGTTGGGGATGGCGCTGGCTGTCTCAGTGAGGGTGAAATGTGCACTAGCATAAAACGGGAATGGGAAGGGGGGGGGGGGGGGCTTTTTATTTTTTTGGAAGGGTGGGTGGGAGAGAACGTCGTTTTTATGGCCGTGGGCCGTGCTTAAAAGTAAAGGAGAATTTTTCGGCGTGCTATCGCGGACAATGTGAACGGAATCGCTCTTGCATGCTCCTTTGGCGCGTACCTGCCAGGTATTGAGATATCTGGAGCAATAGAGTCCGGTGTGACACGTCGCGCCATCTAGCTCAAAAGATTTGCAACACTGGGAAGGTTCTTTCGCCAGCCTGTTTGCTCGCGGGGCTGTTCACGCATCAATTCGAAGGTGTTGATTCGTGCGTTTTTTGGTATTTTATCGGATGTCGCAGAAGAGCAAGCGTCGAGGCTGTAGGCACCGTTGCGTACCGGACTGTCGCAGCCCCGAAAGCTTAGCAGGCGTGAAGCTCCGCAGGTTCCCGTCGAGATCGTGGGAACATTCTCACTGCTGTCTGCTCTGCGGACATATCACGGTCGAACGACGTTTTGTGGACATTTGAGCGTTAATTGTTACCGAAGTGAGCGTTGTCTCCGCTTCGCCACTTGCAGAGAGGACTGTCGTTTGCGGCTTTCGCGTGATTGCGTAGCTGCCCAAGATGGTTGCTGTATTTCGACCCGTGTCTATGCGGTTCGAACCCCGTCCCCGCAGTGAGAAAACAGTCAACTCAAATAATGGAAAAAGAAAAGGACGGACCCCACGCCACGAGAAAAGGTTATCCATGCGGCGCGTTTGTTTGTGTTCTATGTGACAGCATATTCGATCGACGAGAACGAGCATCAGCTTGCGATGAAGGTACTCTACTTGCGACCAGCAACTGCGTACGACGCCGTTCAAATTACAGCCAGCTTGCACAAAAAACGCATTCCCCGGACATTACATTCGTCTTGAACACGACGACGCTTTTAGTTCCGCTTTTGTAGAGGAGGTAAGCTCGACAAAGTCTTCGCGTTTGTAATTTGAAGGCACGCGCAAACAACGTTAAAAGAAAAAAAAAAAAGCTGTTCTTGTCTATTTGTTGTTACTTAAATTTGGCTGTAATATCAGGGCGTTCAATCTTGTTCTACTAGTTCCCGTTTAGGGTTGCCTCAACCTATCGAGGAAGCCTGCTACAAGAAAACTTCCTCATGCTAGAACCACACGACCACACACACACACATATTAATATACTTAACGTTTGATATATATACACCTAATTGTTTTAATAGTCGGTAGTACAGTGCGCGCAAACCAACACAATAACGTAATCTCGCAAGGGTACGGCGGCGGCGCTGACGACTTTAGCCGTCCCAGTGTTGCTTCATTTGGCCACGGTGGCGCTGATGATCAACTGACGGTGGCGCGCTCCTCTGCCCAGCACCTACAGGAGTGGAATGCGAAGATGAAGTCCCATACTTCGGACTATTTGGAAAATCGAGAGATAAACGAGTTTGTGGGAACCGAACGCGCTTAAAAAGGCCGGATGGGGTGCCAGTTGGGGCTACCAACCTAAGCAGTAAATATTGCTGCCTGCCAGTACCAATGCCGAAAAACACCGAAGTCGTGTTCGCGCCGACACGACACACGTTAGTTTCGTACATACTGGTGATTCTAACAAGCCGACCGACAGATTTTGCATGATCCAACGTCACGGGACCGCCATACAAGGAGGACACAACTTCAGACATTGTCTCCAGGCTGTCTTTTGTGTGTGTGCGTTCGTGTGTGTGTGTGTGACGTGTGTGCAGTGGAAGTGCGGCGCAATGGTTATGCGTGATTGGATTCGTAGGTGATATACTGATTGTGAAACGGAGCACAGTCGCTGGTCAGGCGCCAGGCTCGCGACGGCAGCCAACCCCGCGGGTCGGAGGACCTCGGGGTCCTTCCCTTCTGTCCGGCGATGGCCCGGCGCGGACCGGCACGCCATCGGCTCGTTGGACGTCGGCCGAAAGCCTCCCGCCTGACAGATCGATGGCTTCTGTTTGCTCGTTCGAGGAGAGCGGTCGCCTTCGGCGGAGTGCACGCCGCGATGGAGCCCGTCGCCACTGCGAGCCGCACCGTTGTTTGCACAACGTCGTCGAGCGACGACGAGAGCGGGACGCGGTATATATACGGCTCGCGTGCTCGCCGAGAAGCGATCGCGCGTCCCCGGAACGCGCTAATACGCGTCAGCCCGGGGGATTCGTGTAGACACGCGCGGCGTGCGGCCGCGCCGGACACGCGCGGGTCCATTTTGTCGATGCCGCTTCGAAGTTTGCGCAGTGTCGCGCTCGACGACCGATTGGTGTCCCTGGGACTGCACGAGCACGCGGTTGAAGCCAGAGTGGGAATGTTCTGCGCCTGCGCAAACTCTCTCTCCACCCAGAGTCTGATTACCGTCACCTTCCTCGGCAGTTGGAGTTTTCGA